ATATGTTATAAAAGCAAAAAGAAGGGAGGGAACCGGAGGAGGAGAGGAGGAGGTTAAGAGAAGGCGATGGGCTACATAATAGTAAAATGATATGTGTATGAAAAAGTCATAATGAAATTTATGATTTCGTGTGGTAAAAATCAATAATAAAAAATTTAAAACCACAAGACCTGCACAAGATCAAGCAAGGCAACATTCTAGCATGGAGTAGGGAGGGGTTCCCAAGCCCCCACCCCTAACTGAGGACCTATGGACAGTTCATGGCTGCTGAGGAAGGAGAGTCAGTTTTCTTTAGTGATGTGGCCCCTGGTAGGTTAACCATACTCCAGAGGACAGCCCCACACCCAGAAGTATATAGGCAGCACAAATTGGAATCAAAGGGTTATTTTTAAAAAGATGACATAGGAGGGTGGCTGGAGAGATGGCTTTGAGTTAAGAGCACTGGATTCTCTTGTAGAGGATCCAGGTTCAGTTCCCACCACCCACATGGCATCTAACAACTGTCTGTAACTCCAGTGAGGGGAATCCAACGCCCTCCTCTGACCTCCGTGGGCATTGCAAGGCACGAGTACACTTACATGCAGGCAATACACCTGTGCACATAAAATAAAAATAATAAAATATTTTAAAAGAACACGTGAAGTTGGCAGGGACAGGGAGGTGGGGTTGTACTGGGGAGAAGTGGGGAGGTGAATGTGATCAAGATTCACTGTATGACATTCTCAAAAATTCATAAAAATGCATTTAAAAAGAAGAAAGAACTCAAAACATTTATACATGAAATCAGACAGGAGACTATTTGGGAAGACAGCATTGATTAGCAATCAAGAGATGCCCTGCTGGAGGAGTGTGGACCAGAGAGAGGGTTAATGTGGTCAAAGTCCGTGATCTACATACGAAAAGTCATGAAATTTGTTATTTTATACAATGACTATGTACTGATAAAAATCAAGTAAACATCAAATGTGTTTGCTGTAAAGGGTTTTAAAATACCATATCCTAAGTCAAATGCAGTGGTACACACCTTTAATCCCAGCACTCAGGAGGCAGAGACGGATGGATCTCTGTGAGATCGAGGCCATTCTAATCCACATTGCAAGTTCCAGGCCATCTGAAGCTACAGGGGGGCACCCTGTCTTGAAATTTTAAAAACCCATACAATATGATCTCCTTTGTAAAATTCAGAATAAAGTATCAGGACAGAGGCTGTAGCTCAGCTGGTATAGTGTGGGCCTAGCATGCATTGGGTTCCATCCCCAGCGCCAAAAATCTTTTAAAAAGAAAATTAAAAATAATGAAGGATCATTGTGTTAGAATTCTTATGAAAATTTAAAGTTATAATGACTTCAGGGTTGTCAAGAGTCTACCACTGAACCAGGTGAAAGTAATGGCTTGTTAGCTTTTAAAGACGCTTAGCCATTCAGGTGTGTGTTATTTGTTACTAAAAGGCACAGAAATTAAGTGTTGACAGAGGTTTTGCAAGCAGAACATTACTGCATTGCTTATGGGAATGTGAAATGGAAAATAACATCAAAATTTCTCAGAATGTTATGTGGAGGTTTACCACATGACAGCTATTCTACTTCAGGGACTATTACCCCCAAAGAGATGGAAAGTGGGACTCAAACATATTCACACAGTAATGTTCATAGAAGCATTCATTTAGAAGAGTCAGAAGACAGAAATCCACGTATGTGTAAACAGATGGAGACACCGATTATGATTTGAATATACAAGAGAATTTTGTTCAATCTTTACAAGAATTGAACTGTTTATGGATGTTCCAGCATGGTTGGACCTTGAAACCACTTAAATCAATGCAATAAACCAAACAGAAGTATGAATATGTTTCCACTTGCAAAAGGTGCCTAGAACAGGCAAAATCAAAACTTGATAGCCAATGTCAGGATACATGAAAATTCAGTGAGGGGTCCTATGGGGAGTGCAGATAGGGAGGTGGTTTAAATATGATTAAAATGTATTATATGAAATGCACAAACATTCAATAAATATATTTATAATATATATAATATACAGGAAAAAAACAAAGTAGAATAGAGGTTACCACATTTCCATTTCCAATCAGTTAGTTTATTTTTATTTCATGTGTATGAGTGCATTGCCTGCATGTGTGAAAGTGCACCTGTGTCATGCAATGCCTGCGGAGGTCAGAAGAAGGCATCAGATTCCCCCAGAGCTGGAGTTATGGATGGTTGTTAGCCACCATATGGGTGCTGGGAATCGAACTTGGGTTCTTTGCAAGAACAGTCAGTGCTTTTAATCACTGAACCATCTCTCCAGTCCAATACATGTAGTTTTAATTTGAATTTCTCTAATGGTGTTGAATACGTTTTAAGTGTTTATTACCCACTTACATTTCTCCTTTTGAGAATTACCTGTTCAGTCCTAGCCCCTTTTTGTCGGGGTTGTTTGTATTCTTGATGCTTTGCTGTTGGAGTTCTTTGTGTCTTCTACATCTTAATTCTCTGTCAGATGGATCACTGGTAAAGATACTCTCCCACTTTGTAGGCCGCCTCTTCATTCGATCGTTTCCTTTGCTGTACAGAAGCTTTTTTTGTTTCATGAGGTCCCATTTGTCAATTACTGACCCTATTTCCTGATCAACAAGAATCCTATTTAGAAAGCCCCTAGGGCTGGTGAGATGGCTCTGTTGAGTAAAGGCACCTACCCCCAAGCCTGATGACCTGAGTTCAATCCTTGGAATCCACATGTTTGTTATAGGTCTGTTAAGTTGTTGTTCTCTTCTTGGTTTTACGTTCATTTGCCATATGTATCTGAAAATTCGCCTATTTCTTTTAGGTTTTTCATAAATTTTTTTAATGTATACTCTTGTGGTTTTCTGTATTTCTTTGACAGCTGCTGTGATGTCTTTCTGTCTATCTCTAATTTTATTAGTTTGAGCTTTCTTTTAGTTTCAGGATTTGTTGATCTTGTTTATCTTTTCAAAGAAACAACTTCATTTCATTAATTTTTTTGTTTTTTTAAGTAATATTTTATTGATTCTTTGAGAATTTTACATAATGTATTTTTAGCATATTCAGATCCCTCCCCATCTCCTCTGAGATTCATCCCCACTTCCCTACCCCTTGCTTCATTATCTATATTTTTAAGACCAGTTGAGTCTAATTTGTATTCCCCAAATGCCCTTGGATGTATGTTCATCCCCTGGTGCCTGATCAACCTACACATGTGTCAGAACCTTAAAGAAAATCGACTCTCCATCTTCCAACAACTATAAGTTGCTAATAGCTCCTCAGCAAGGTCTGGGGTTTTGCCCACCTTTCCCTCCCATTCTGCATTTTATTTTATGTGTATGAGTGTTTGGCCTGCATGTATGTAAGTGCACCTATGTCATACAATCCAGCAGAGGGCACAAGAGGGCATCAGATCCCCCTGGAACTGGAGTTAATGATGATTGTTAGCCACCATGTGAATGCTGGGAACTGAACTCTGGTCCTTTGCAAGAGCAGCCAGTGCCCTTAACCTTTGAGCCATCTCTCCAAACCTGGAAGGATTTATTTTGAACTCACATTTCCAGGATACAGTCCACCGCGGCAGGAAAGTCAAGGCATCAGGAATGTGAGGCAGCTGGTCACACTGGATCCATAGTCAGGAAATAGAGAGAAAAGAGTGCAGTGCTTAGCACACTTTCTCGTTTTTAATTCAGTCCAGAGGTCGGTTCTAGACCCAATGAGAACTGAGTCAATTAAGTCTATCCAGAAGTTAGGTATCGAATAAGACTCTACAAGGGGGAAATTGTGTAATCCAGGTATTATGGTACAGAGTGGGGGACAAAGATACACCCATGAGCCATTTCTTAGGAATATAATTTGTATTGGATTGATAGTTACTAAGTCTAAGTGGGTCTCCTACTTACTTACATATTTCTAGCTTTTATCTTTGCTGTTTTACCCACCACTAATTTTTCTTCCCTAAACTTTTCACAAAGGCTTTAATGAACTAAATGAATCTACACTCTCGGGTACTGTTTTCTTTAACTTTTTTCTTTTTCCATTTCCCATGTGTCTGCGGTATGCATGTTTCCTGCATTCGTGTGTGTGTGTGTGTGTGTGTGTGTGTGTGTGTGTGTACATGTGGAGGCCTGAGGTATATGTTGAGAATCATCCTTCATTGCTCTTCTGCCTTACTCATGGAAGCATGGTCTCTAAATCAAACCCAGAGTGCAACAATATGGCTAGTCTTGCCAGCCAGCTTGCTCTGGGGATCCCTTGTCTCTGTCTTCACAGGTTGGAATTCTAGGCAGGCCACCATGCCCACCAGGCATTTACATGGGTTTCAGGGGATCCAAGCTCTGGTTTTCATGCTTATGTGGCAAGCACTTTTGCCACCGAGCCATCACCCCAGTCCTAGTGTTTGTTAATTTTATAAGGGGTTTCGTTAAGGCATTCCAGTGCTGCGTGTAATGTACATTGCTTGTATTTGTGAGCCCTCTGTTACTCTATTAATTCCCTTCCTGCCTCATTTTTACTTCCTTTCTCTATGCCCTAAATTTCCCCTTTTGGTGTCATATTGTTTCTTCTCTGGGAAAGTAAAAAATGCAGTATTTGTCTTTCTGAGCCTATCTTATGTCACTTAACATGCTGTTCTCCAGTTCTATCCATTTCCCTGCAAATGACATAATATCCTTCTTCTTCTTGACTGACTAAAACTCCACAGGTTCTATATACATTTTCTTTATCCATTCATCTGTAGATGACCGCCTGGGCTGATGTCATAATTTGACTACTTGTGAGTGTTGCTGTCATAAACACAGGTATGCAGGTATCTCTGTCATAAACTGACTTTGATTCTTTGGGGTATACACCCAAAAATGAAATAGATATATCCTCTCATATCGTACTTTGAAATTTTGAGGGGCCTCTATACTGATTCCCTCATCCTCTCATTCCAGGTCTCTGCACATCTTGCCTGTTCTGTCTCCCATTCGGTTGTCTTCATCACCAACACGTTGCATAAAGATGAGTGACAGGAATCCAAGATCTCTCAATCCACTCCACTTTCCATCTACTTACACAACTTTTCCTTCAATCCCAACTTGGACATCCTCTTGCACCCCTTCCTCCCCTTTTGACAAGGGGGTCATGCTGTATATGAATCATCTAAGCAAGGAGGAGCTACAAATATTCAAGAAGCTGTTACTGGATGAACACTTGCTGCCTCATGTGGACCACGTCAGGTGGCGCCAGCTGAAGACGGCCAGTTGGGCAGAGGTGGTTCATCTCTTGACAGAATACCTCCATGGAAGGCTAGCTTGGGATGTGACTTTCAGCATTTTGAACAAAATGAACAAGAAAACAATTTGTTCCCTGGTACAAAAGGAGCTAAAAAGTAAGTGATAATACGGTACATAGATAGGGTGGGCTTGGGGCTAAAGAAATACTGACTGCCATGGGACGTATTGTTCACCTGCGTAAGAGAAGAGTAAAGTCACAGTGGATCTAATCCAAAGACAAAAGCTGTTACAATGCATTTTGAATTTTAAAAGATGTAATTACTACTACTACTACTACTACTGCTACTACTACTACTACTACTACTACTGCTGCTGCTGCTGCTGCTGCTGCTGCTGCTACTACTAATTATGTGTGTGTATGTGCATTTGGATGCCCACAAAGGCCTGAAGAAGGTATCAGATAGATCTCCTGGACAGAAAATTAGAAGCCACCTAGTACATGTGCAGGGAACCAAACTCAGGTCCTCTAGAAGAGCAGCAAGTGTACATAACTGCTGAGCCATCTCTCTGGCCCCTTATAGTGTGTAATTTTTAAAACTTAACCAGATAGTCTTTGATTAAAGATAGAAGCCTAGGGTGCAGCTCAGCTGGTGCTTGCCCAGCATGTACAATCCCCAGCACCACATAAACCAGGTATGGTGGTGCACACCTGTAATCCCAGCATGATGGAGGTGGAGGCAGGAGGATCAGAAGTTCAAGATCGTCTTTGGCTACATGGCGAGTTTGTTGTACATGAGGACACCATCTCAAAAGATGTAGAAAAGGACAAGGCAGCAAGATGGGAAAATTATATGCTTTGTTGTGTGTTAGTTAATAGGAATACACTCTGAGAAATATATCACTGAGTTTTTTCATTATTGTGTGAACATCACAGGGTATATTTGTCCAAACGGACATCACCAGATCATGTGGTATTACAGGACCACATCCTATATGTAGTCCACTGTTGACAAAATGCTGTAATACGTACGGCACATGGTAATGCCACAAAAAGGGAGAAGAAAGGTGGTACAGGCATGTGGGTATCAGAAGTAAATATTTAAGGCAAGAATATTAAAGGTTAAAAAGGATTTATTGGCGATAAAGTGGGCAGTTCCATGGGGGGATATGCCTATTTTTGTCTGCCAGTAACATTTCTAATATATGCAGAGCCAAACTTAACTACTGAATTGAAAATAAATGAATAAGCCTATTAACACAGCACGAGATGCTAGCCTAGTTCTCCCAACACCCGGCATTCCAAGTGGTTATTTTTTCTTACTGGTAGAAATGGACATAATATGAACTGTATCGTTTTTTTGGAGATAGCATCTCATTATGTTGCCCTGGCTGGCCTGGATCTCTCTATGTAGACCAGGCTGGACTTGAACTCACATAGCTCCACCTGCCTCCTGACTGCTGGGATTAAAGGTGTGCATCACCGTACACAGAAAACTGAATAATATTTAAATATAAACAGAAAGCTAGCATCTGGCTTTTCTGTCTCCCTAGCCGTGACCATCCCATCAATGGGCTTGGTGCCTGTGTGTGACAGGTGCTCAAATAGTTCATGGACACCAAATAATGGGTTGTGAAGAGGAACTTGTTTTGGGTAAGGTGGCCAGGGAAGTGAATAGTCCTCATGGAGGAAGTGATGCCAAGCCTGGGACCTAACAACTGCGGAAATAGCTAGTCCTGTGAAAAGAAAGGAGAGTACATAGAAAAGAAAAATCAGAGGCTGGGGGTGGGGAGAGAAATCTTTTATTGTTCAGAAACATCGCATGTTATTAACTAGGACCTCATGAGAAAAGGAAAGAGAGAAAGAAACAGAAACAGACCCAAGTGACCCGCGTTATTCATGGATTCCATATTTGTAGATATGCCTACTCTTTCTAAAACGAATGCTTGCAAGGACTCGAGGTCCTTCGGTAGACCTGAGCAGAGAAGCGGTCAGCTGGATTTCACAGTTGCGTTTTCTATGTATGGCCAAGCTTCCCATGGCTGAGCTTTTGACTGCCGTTTCCCACTGCAGACATTTTTAATTTACAGAATAAACAACAGTAATCTTTATTGAAATGGTTTGCCTCCTAGCTGTTATCGGTGCACAAAGGTTTTACTCTTGAGCTGTTTTGATGCGTTCACAGAGGGAAGCCCATCCCCAGATAACAGAGTCCTGGAGGATACTTAACATAGACATGCTTGGGTCTGAAGCCCCGGGGGCAACCTCAATTCCAGAACCAGCTTCTCAGTGAGTTCAAACAGCACATAACAGTTTACGGATAGAATGCACATTACACCAGGCCATGCAAATTCATTCCAGTGGATCAGTCATTTCTTTATTTTATTTTGTTATTTTTATTTTTGTGTGCACAAGGGTATTGTCTGCATGTAAGTGCACCCGTGCCATGCAATGCCCATGGAGGTCAGAAGAGGGCATCAGATTCCTAGCTGCCATGTGGGTGGCTAGGAACTGAACCCAGGTCCTCTGCAAGAGCAGTCAGTACTCTTAAATGCTGAGTCATCTCCCCAGTCCTGGAACAGTCATTTCTTATCTATTCCAGGCCTTCTACATACTTTGGAACCAGAGATCATCAATCTAAGAGAAACATCAATCAGTTTGGAGAAAGAAGAGTCTGGTATGTGGTCATGTTGGGGAAATCTGGTAAAAAAAAAGGGGGGGTTGAAATGAGGAGCTTGGTGGCCATCACAGCAGGTTGTACATTGAGTGGTTAGTATCTTTTCTACTCATCATTACATGTAATGATAAAACCGGTGTTTGTAGATTCACCTGACTATAGGAAGCCCAGTCTCCATCCCAGCTGGTGATAATATCTCAAACTCCATCATCATAACCTCATTCCCCTCTTCCTCATGGCTCAGTCCTTTGTGGAACTTGATGAACAACTGCTCCTTTGAACAGTAACCATCTTCACCCCAGGCTGCTTTGAGTGTAGGGTGTCCCTGCTTGCCCACATGGGCAGGAGAAGAAGGCTTATTTTCAAATGCTTCCAGAAAAACTCCTAGAACTGAGTTCAAGGAATGAACAAAGGTCTTATTAGCCAACAAAACATTCCAGTTAATTAAGATAAGCTCATGTACAGTTATCTCTCAATATTTATGGGGAATTTTTAAAATATTTTATTTATTATTTATCACTTTTGTATGTGTATGAGTGTATTGCCCGTATGCATGTAAGTGCACCCATATAGACCTACTCTTACAATCTTTCCACCCCCTCTTCCACATCATCTCTGAGCCATGGGTGGGTGAGGTTTAATATAGGAGTTCTACCCAGGGAAATGCACTTTGCAGTCTCTTATTCCCTAAAACTTAGCCAGCTGTGGCCTTCTGTGTGCATGGCACGCTGTTGTGTGAGGAAGCTTCACTGGTGAGAGTTGGGGGATGCACTAGTATTCTCTCTACCCCGTTCTGCTATGTTTCCCGAGCCTTAGGCGCAGAGGTTCCACTGTAGATGCTGATGCTGGGTTTTTGTCTGATTGAGTCAGCATGGGTGTTGTGCACAGTGTTACCATTGCTTCAAGTTAATGCGAGCAAGTTCCCAGAGGCCTGGAAGACCATTTCCTAATATTCATGCCCCAACCCTGGCTCTTGCAGTCTTTCTGCTTTCTGTTCCTTAGTGGTTTCTGAGCTGTGGGTGGGTGAGGTTTCATTTGGTCAGTGTTTTTATAGGGCAGTAAAAGTAACTGGAACAGCTGGGTTCATCATAGCTCAGCTGTTGTGAACAGTGCTGTCATAGGCATGGATGAGGAAGTATCTGTGTATCATGATGCTCAGCCCAGTCAAAGGGCTTGAGGGTAGGAATAGGGGTTTTCCAAGGGGACGATTTGAGTGGTTGCCCAAGTAGGAATGGTTAAGAGGCAAGTATGATAGGCATCTTTGATCTGAAAATTTGGTGCGCATTTATTGTGTGTAGTTATGGGTTTCATAAGGATGTTTTCAGCAACTATATCATGCACTTCATGTTCCACCCAATGTCCCACAATGCTTTCCTTCCCCTCCCTTCCCCCTCCCTTTAATCCTTCTCATTTCCCTAGACAGTTTCACGTCTACTTTTGTGCCATATGTATGTGATTTTATGTGTCTATTTGAAATCTCTAAATAATCTCTCATAAATGAGGTCATCAGGCTTGGCAGAAATCACCTTTGCCAGCTGAACCATCTCATTGACCCCAACCTTAGACATTTATTTACTGTTTTTCTAAGTTTATTTAATTTTTATGCATATGAATGTATTGCCTATATGTGTGCAGATGCACGGTGTCATGCAATTCTCACAGAGGTCAGAAAAGGGTGTCAGATTCTCCTGGAATTGGTGTTATGAATGGTTGTTAGCTGTCATGTGGGTCCTGGGGACCAAACTCAGATCCTCTGCAAGAGCAGTCGGTGCTCCTAACCACTAAGCCAGCTCTCTAGCTCTGTTTGCTGTTGTTTAATCAATGCAGTGTGTTGCAGAATGCTGTCCTCTGAGCATAACAGCCTTCATCTTCATCACAGCAGCTGTGGCTACTTGCAAAAGACCTGCAAGGTCAGGCCTATTGACTCTTGATGTTCCCTTGTCAAAAAAGGAGGCGTGGGGAGGGTCATTGAACCCTCACCTAAGATTCTGGCAGCTCCTCCTGCGTGTTTCTGCAATTCTGAGAAACTTGATTTTCCTAACCAAAATTTAGAAGCTTTCTGTTAACTGAAAACCTCTTTGTTAACTGACCTGTCTCTGGTCTGGTGTAACTATGGTGATCTGATATAACTAAGGTTATTGACTGTGCCCCTGGCATGATGTAATTGTTATTTTAAGCTGTATAAACCCTGCTCCGCCTCTCCTCAGGGTCAAGAGTTCTTTCTGATGACAGTCCCTCTCCACCACTAGCTATTATTGACTAAAGGACTTTTAATTCCACTATCACTATGTGGCATTCTGTGCCTGACACTCAGTATTACAAGAAAAAGATTCTTTGCTAACTTCATACAAAATGATATTTAAAATTAAATAAAAGGTACTTTAAAAGGAAAATAAAAAGGTGTGTAAAGATACAATCATACAGTGGAGGTTAGAGTGGATTTCATGGCTGGCTTTCTTGTTTTATCAGTGCTCAGAAAAACTGTGATGATGATCTCTGTATTTCCCATCTTCCCAACTCTAGATAAATTACTGAAATACAAACAACATGTGATAGAAGAGAACCTACCCATATGGAACAAGACTGTTTGGCCTGCAAACCAAGCAGACTACTTGTACAGAGATGTAAAGAAATACATGGAGCTGTTGCCGTGTCTCTTTCTGCCCCAAAGTCCCCAGGGTCGACAGCCTAAAACCGTGGTTATACACGGAATTCCTGGTATTGGAAAAACAACCCTGGCCAGAAAGGTGATGGTGACGTGGGCGCGAAGTGAATTCTACACCCACAAATTCAAGTATGCCTTGTATTTCCACTGCCAAGAACTGAATTGGGCAGGAAAGCGCAGCTTCTCTGAGCTGATAGAACACCAAAGGCTTGAGTCTCGGGCTCTCGTGTCCAAAATTTTATCCAAACCAGATCAACTTCTGCTCCTGTTTGATGGCTTTGAGGAACTCACATCTTCCCTCACTGAAAGACCAGAGGGTTTGAGTGATGACTGGAGCCAGAAAATGCCTGGGTCTGTGCTCCTGAGCAGTCTGCTAAGCAAAAGGATGCTCCCGGAGGCCACGCTTCTGATAATGATAAGACCAACCTCCTGGCCATCACTTAAACCCTTAATGAAACATCCCTGTCATGTCACCCTTACAGGATTTAGTAGGACCGAAATAATCAAGTATTTCAGGGCCTATTTCAGACACACAGCGATAGCTAATCGAGTTGTGGATTTTGTTGTGGAAAACAGCATTCTTGTGGCTCTGTGTCGGGTCCCTGCGGTGTGCTGGGTGGCATGCCGTTGTCTGAATGAGCAAATGAAGAAAATGATAAATCTCATAAAGGCGTTTCCAAATGTAACGTCTGTGTTGGTCCTGTATCTGGCCACCTTGTTTCCAACAATATTTACAAACCTTTCCAACCAGAATCACCAAGAGCAGCTGGAGGGTCTGTGTCACGTGGCTGCCCAGGGCATGTGGAACATGAAGTGGGTGTTTGAGAAGAAAGACTTTCAACGAGTCATGGTGGAAGAGATGAGCATCGACACCTTTCTTCAAGTGAATATTCTTCGAAAGATCAAAGGTCAAGAAGACCGTTACGTGTTTGCTCTGTTTATTTTCCAGGAATTTTTTGCCTCCTTGTTTTACGTCCTCTATTTCCCAAAAAGACTCAGACAGTATCACCTATTGGGCCGTATGGAAATCCAGGGTCTGGTGGCGGGACCTTCAATAGGCAAAACCTGCCTGACTCAGATGGCCCTGTTCCTGTTTGGCCTTTTAAATGCAGCCTGTGCTCACATTGTGGAGAAATCCTTTAGCTGCAAGTTGTCCTTGGGAAACAAGTCAAAGATCGTACGAGTCATGACGCAGTTGAACAAACACGAAGCGCCTTCGGTGTGCTGCGGGGTTCCACAGTTGTTTTACTGCCTGGCTGAAATCGGGGAGGAGGCCTTCGCACGTAGCGCACTGTTGGGTTATCGGACAGCTTCTTTGAATATCCTGGCCCATGAAGACCTTCAAGCATCCGCGTTTTGCCTTAAGCGCTGTCGAGATTTGCAGAAAATGGAACTGTCTCTCTCAGAGGACTTCTCCAAGGAGCTCTGGCCTGTTTCAGCAGGTTCCCCCAGTGCCACTGAGTGAGTGCTGGTCTCTTTGATGGCAGCCTGCTCTAACCAAGGACCTTACTTCTGGGGAATTGGGAGATCAATCCTGTTTACTTTGGTGTTTCTTTTTTTTTTTTTTTAGAAAAACCCTGTAGCCCCCACTAGCCTGGAACTCATTATATAGATCGGGCTGGCCTCACTCAGAGTTCTGCCTGCCTCTGCCTCCTGTGAATCCATGTCGTGCAATGCCCACAGAAATCAGAAGAGGGTGTTGGATCCTCTGGAACTGGAGTTACAGGTGGTTGTCAGCCACCACGTGGGTGCTGGGAATTAAATCCACGAGCAACCAGTGCTCTTAAGGACTGGGCCATCTCTCCAGCCCCCACTGCTACTTCATAAAATTACATTTTATATATCTATCCTGGGTGTGGGTACGGGCATGTGCATGCTAGGGTACATATGGAAGTCAGAGAACAACACAAGAATCCATTCTCTCCTTCCACCATGTGGGCCCAGGGATCTACCCAGGTCATCCAGTTTGGCAGCAAGCACCTTTACCCACTGAGATATCTTGCTGGCCCCAGAAATCCTGTTACTTTGAGGGTGAGGTTTGTGAAGTTCCAAACCTTTCTAACCTCTGGTTTGTACAGTGCATCGATATTAAAGAGTCCTGGGCTTCCTTTCTTAGTTTTTCTTGAGTTTGACCTCTAACCATAGGCCCTTATCTCTTTCCTCCCTCTCACGTAGAACGAAGGAGAAGGAAATGCATTTGGCCTGGTGGCAAGATGTCTGCTCTGTGTTCAGAACAAATTATGGTTTGGAAGTCCTGACAGTGACAGACTGTGTCATGGAGAACCTATTCATGAAAGTTTTTACTGATGCCCTGAAACAGCCTTGCTGTAAACTCCAAAAGCTATAGTAAGTATCAGACTAGTTTCTTTTCTGTTGCTGTGATAAACACCCTAAAAGCAACTTGAGGGCAAAGGGGTTTATTTTGGCTCACAGTTCCAGAGTGATAGAGTCCATCATGATGAGGAAGACCTGACAACAGGTGGGGAAAGACATTAAGAGCAGGAACAGGAAGTGGATGACCACACCCCCCCTACCCCCACCCACACCCACACCCGGGAAGAAAACAGGAAGTGGGGCCAGGAAGTAACACTTCCAAGTCTGCCCTCAGCAACATACTTCCTCCTAAAAGTTCCATAACCTCTCCAAACAGCAGCACCAACTTAGGACCAAGTATTCAAACATGAGAGTCTCTGGGGGACACTGCACTTTCAAACCAGTTTCTCAGTACAAGCGATCACAGGTCCCAGATGACAGTGACTGCTCCTGGTTGGAAGGAAGTCCATGGAAACATCTGTTCCCATTCAGCTCCCGTGTTCCTTCCCCATTCACACTAGACCTGCATGAAGCATACATGTTCATGAAGCACACATGTTCAACTGCTTTAATTATGGCATCATTTTTCATGGGTTTCTTCTTTATATTTGTTGCTTTGAATTATCATAGTAGGTAATGGGTTTCATGATGGCATTTCCATACAGATGTTCTTTGATTATTGTGTCTGTTTACATTTGTATGTGTACATATGTGTGTATGTGCTTGTGGAGCCCAGAGGTCTATGTCAAATGTCTCTATCACTCTTCACCTTTTTGGTTTTTTTAGAGACAGGGTCTCCCACTAAACCCGGAGCTCACTGATTCAGCTGGGCTGATTGGCCAACGAATCCCGGGGACCCTCCTCTCTGTCTCTCTAGCACTGGGATTACAGGCCACCCTGCTTTTTCATGTGGGTTCTGAGGGAACAAACCCAGTTCTTCGTGCTTGAGCAGCAAACACTTCACCCACTCAACCATTTCCCCAGCCCTGGTTTCACTCTTCTTTAAAGCTCATTGTGGGGCTGAAGAGATGGCTCAGCAGTTAAGAGCACTGGCTGATCTTGCAGAGGACCCGGGTTCAGTTCCCAGCACCCACATGGCAGCTAATAACTGTCTGTATCTCCAGTTCCAGGGGATCTGATGTCCTCTACATACCTCCATGGGCACTGTGTGACACAGGTGCACTTACATGCAGACAGTCCACTCATACACATAAAAGCTCATTGGTATTCACTTGTACATGTGTCACATTTTCTTTTATCCATTCATCTGTTGATGGGTGCAACATGTTTAGCTTTTGGCAGGAGGTCCAAGGGACTATTAATGTGTACAGAGAGTGAATTTGAGTTGCTTGATGAATGAAGTCCCATGCTGGCCTCCACACACACATACACATGTACACATGAACTTGCACATACATACACAAACACACACAAACATCCATATTTGCACACACATGCATACAAACACATGCGTGCACATACACATACAAATGCCAAAACATACACATGTATACATACACATAAAATACAGAAACATACACATATAACACACACAAACAGAAAAACATACATACACATAAATATACATACACACAAGCACACATACAACATCTATGTACACATATGCACACAAATATATATACACAACATATGTACACATGTGTAAACAAATGTATACGCAGAAGCACATGCATGTATGCACATATATACAATCACATACATACACACAAACCTATTCGTGCACATACAACACATACATATACACAAACACACAGACACACAAAAGTGGTGGAGAGAGCTCCCTTGGTAATCAGATGTACTTCCCTCTCCAGTTTAAAGCATGTGGGTCGTATGTTGCATGAAGATTTTCTCTGTGTTTTGACTGAAAATCAGCATCTGAGACAGCTGAAAATAGAGTCCACAGAATTGGGACAGGAGGCCATGAGATCCCTTTGCTCAGCACTGAAATCAGCCCAGTGTCCCCTGAAGTATCTAAGGTAAGGGCTGAGCCTAGAACTTGAGTGGAGGCGCATGGGTGGGCGGTCCTGCAAAGCAGGTGGTGTGTGCGCTGGCTGCCGGCAGCTTCCTCTCCTTAGCCACTATTACTGTCATTCAGCGTTCACGATGCAGTCTGAGTTCATTTCCTGTGGCCAATACCCAGAAATGGGGTTTCCGGATGATATGTTAGTTCTTTTATTTATTTATTTTTTTTAGAAATTAATTTTTAAGTATTTTATTGAGTAGTTGTACATTTCATGCAACAATTCTCATTAGTTTTTAATTGTGCATGTCTACAGGCATGTGCACATGTGTATGTGTGCCCACAGAGGCCTAAAGCATCAGATCCCAATATGGGTGTGGGGAATTGAACTTGGGTCTTCTGCAAGAACAGTACATGCTCTTAACTGCTGAGCCATCTCTTCAGCCCTTTCCCTCCTGATTATTGGCATATATTTATAGTGCATGGTAGTAGGTTTCATAAGGACATTTTACATGGTATATAATATGATTTGAGCACACACACACACATACACACACACACACACACACACGCGCGCGCCTTGTTATAGGAATTAACCCGAGACTGACCTGGCCTTCAAGAAGACTCAAACGACACTTAGAATGATGAGGAAGTTATTGTTTATATGTGCTAGCCCCAGACTGGGCTACCCTGCTCCAGAGAAACCAAGGCCCCAACCATAAATACACAGGGTTGTTTTTTTAGGATTTTTCACATCCTTTAACAGTAATTATATTGGTAGATTTGAGACTTCCGGTACAGAAGTGTACATGCCCCTCAGGTTACTATAGGAAATTTAGACAGCATTTCACAAAGAAGCAAATATTTCAGGCAAGTGTGGGGTTATGACACTTACCTATAATATGCTAATACTAGTACAATCTTAGTTATTTTAACAAATAAGACACATGTAGCAGGTGCTTCCTGAAAGGCCACTGCAAGAGGGAGCATTATCCAAGGTTCTCACAGATGGCAGTTTTTGAGGTTGTCTGCCGTGTCTTACTTAGCCTGAGGCTGAGCTCAGAGGGGCCTCTATGACTTGAAGATTCCAAAGTCCTGTTAAGCCTACATGTATCAATAAGCACACTTATAATTAGGAGTTCCTAGGGTTTTTGTCAATTACATTTGTTAGAACTTACTCATCTACCACATAGAACAAAGTTATATTGAGGTCAAAGTTCATTAGTTCCACATTAGGTTAATATTTCCTCATCAGCCTCATTAGCATTTGACACTGTTCCTGGGGAGACATGAACAAACATCTACTCACCCCGAATAGGGAACGAATAATGGGCCAAAGTACCAATACAAAGTCCAACTTGGGGAACCAATGAGTTTATTGAGGTTACTTACAGGAGTATAAGTTAGAGGTTTATTAGAGGACCAGGGACAACCCAAAGGCATCTTGCACCACAAAAGCCCACCCCAGCACGGAACCCTAGAGCTCTCTGCACAGTTTACAGGTCAGAGAGTCTCCGGGGAAACTAAACTGGTCTGAGTTTCTTCACTGCCCCTGTGACCTTGGGGGAGGAGATGTCATGCATCTGGTCAGTTTCAGGGACTTCTTATGTTCTTGAGACTATGATTTGGTTACTTCCTGAGTTTGGATAAACCTCCCTTTACAATTTCTTAGTCTTAACAAACCTTCCTGTAAAACTTCTTGAGTCTTAATGAGCCTCCCTTCAGGTTTCAAGTCAGTCTTAAATTGCTACACAATATCTACTGCCTCCCTTATCTCCTTCCTCCCTCTCCCCATTAGTCTTTCCCCTAAACAGTCTGACTTCTTTGATGTCCTATATACATACATGATTTTATGTATCTGTAAAAATCTAGAATCCCGGGCTGGAGAGATGGGCCAGCTGTTAAGAGCTCTGGCTGCTCTTGCAGAGGACCCAGGTTCGAATCCAAGCACTCTTACGGCGGCTGATAACTGTCTATAACTCCAGTTCCAGGGAATCTAACATCCTCTTCTGACCTCCAAGGGTATTGCACATCGTGGATGCACTTACATACGTGCAGGCAATACACTCATACACATGAAAATAAATATAATAAAATATTTTTAAAATTTAGAATCCCCAAACGAGAGAAAACATGCAGTATTTGAGACTGACTTAATTCACTTAAATGGTAATTGTCAGTTTATCAGTTTCCTTGCAAGTGACATAAATGTATTTTTCCTTATGGCTGAATAAAATTCCACTGTGTATATACCACATTTCCTTTATCTCTTCCTCTGTTGCTAGGCACCAGGTCAGTTCTGTAACTTAACTATTTATAGTACTTCAATAAATGTTGATGTCCACATATCTCTGTGAGATGTTGACTTAGTCTCATTAGATGGTATAGCTGAGTCATACGGTAGAACATTGTTTTAGTTGTTACTGTTTTTCCTTAGGAATCACCATACTAATTTCACAATGGCTGGGCTAGTTATTTATTAATTTTTGAGGAGACTTCACGTGTGATTATTAACATCACCATCAACAGTGTATGAGGGTCTCCTTTTCTCCACATCCACTTGTCACCTTCTGTAAATGTACCCTTTTTATAGGTCACTCCAATTTTTCAGGTTTTGAAAAGTAGTTGTTTTTAATTTTTTTCAGAATTTCATACATGAGTATTTTCTTTGCATGATTTCCATCCTTCCCAGGCCCCAACCAACTCATCACATGACCCCCAACTCCCTTTCAATTTCCTATCCTCATCTTTGATTGTTATTATTACCTATAGATACATACATTTATAAATATTTATACATATACATGCATGTATAAAATTCACCAAGTCCATTTAGTGGTGCTTGTGTGTACCTGTGTTTAAGGCTTCCCAGTCAGGATTAGATAACCTCTCATGGAGCTAGTTCCCTGAGAAACGGATTCCATCTCCCTCAGCCGCCTTTGATTGCCTGTAGCTCCGTCATCTTGAGGTGGGACCCCATGAAACTTTCCCTGTCCACCTTGGCATGTCAACTGGTTTTGCCATTATTCAGATTTCATTAGACCACCACACTGTGAGACTCCATTGGTGCAGCTTCCCTTATCATGTCTAGAATGAATTAACTAGCAGCAGAACCTTGTGGCTCTGGCTCCTACAATCTTTCTTCCCCGTTGTCTATGATGTTCCTTGAGACTTAGGTCACATTGTCGATGTGTCACTTAGAGCTGGGCATCTTGCAGTCACTTGTTTTCTACATTTGACTAGTTGGATGACTTGAGTTTTTTAAAGAAAATAATATTTAGTGAATATCTGTTATTGCGTGAACTACATTGTCTTCATATCCCCAACAACTTTATGAGGTTAGCATTAAACTCATTTACAGATGAAAAACTTAAATTTCACAGAGGTGAAGTTACTTGTTCAAGTATGTAATCAGGCTCGAATTACATACCAAGCTGATCCAAATTCCACATGTGCTCACTTTTCATTATAAACACGCAGAGGATAATTGAATGAGGAAAAGCTGATTAACCTGGGGCAGTGGATGCTGTGTTGTCTGCCAGTCTCTTAGGGCTGAGAGAATGGACCTAAATTTTTTTTCAAATAAAAAATTTTATTGAGAATTTCATACATGCATATAAGGTTTTTTGATCAAATCCACTCCCACTCCCTCCCCTCCAACTCCTCCCATATCTCCCCATCACTGTTTTCTGACAACTTCATGCACTTTTTTTTCCAAATGAGGCTTTTTGCTTCTCTAACATTCCCCTCTCTGGAGAGGTAACTCTAAAATCTTATAAGAATTAGATAAAAGCTTTCAAATACTTTTGATATTTTTGGCCTTTGGAACAGAGTATATTGCTAAGACCCCCAAAGACATTTTGACTTTTAGCCAAGAAACTGGCTACAATTCTTTGCGGTCTTTTTACCCTAACCGCCTAGCCAATTCCTACCTCCTATTCTTATCACACCATCCTCTGAAGAGGTTACCCAAATTGCCAATAGGGAATCTGGATGCAGACCACTGGCTTCATCCATGCTGAACAGGGATGCAGGGTGTGGCAATTGGGGTACCCCTTCAGTGGGCCTATCTAAAAGACTCCTAAATTGCATAACTCTTATCTGTAGGGTGAAAAGAAAGTCCTTGACTGGTAAATAGATGTGAAGGAGAAGTAAAGGCAAGAGTAGTTAGAATTACAAGTTCTAGACAGGGATCCAGAAAAAAGTCAGAACTGATCAAATTTCAAATGTTCACATCAGAGTCCATTGGACTTTCTTGATGGATTACTTGAATTTTTTTAAATACAATTTGACATTGTTCTAGATTTGTCGAACAAATGTAGATGTAGAAAGTTTCAGTCTCCAAGGAGAGCTGGAGCCCATTCAAAGCAGCATTTGACATCGGATTTTTAAACACTCAGGAATTTTGTGGATCCAGCTGTTAAATGGCATTTTTCTAAAGACAGTGTCTTCCTGTAGCCCCAGATGGCCTGGAACTCACTATGTAGACCAGGCTGGCTTCTATCTCACAGAGATTTCCCTGTGCCTGCCTCCTGAGTGGTGGGATTAAAGGCGTGTGCCACCATGCCCAGCTTTAAATGGCATTACAAAGTAAATCAGGAGGTTAAATAAATGACTCAGTGGTTAAGAGCATTGGCAGCTCTTCCAGAGAACCCAGGTTTGGTTCTCAGCATCCACATGGTGGCTAACACCATCCATAATACCAGCTCCAGGGGCTCCAGCGCCCTCGCCTGGCTCCTGTGGGCATTGCATGCATGTGGTACACTTACATCCATACAGGTAAAATGCTCATACACACACAAAAAAATCTTTAAAATAAATAGGGGCTGAAGAGATGGCTCAGCAGTTAAGAGCACTGGCTATTTTTGAAGAGAACCAGGGTTTGGTTCCCAGCACCCACATGGCACCTATCAACCATCTAAAATTCCAGTTCTAGGGGATCCAAGGCCTCTTCTGGCCCCCTCAGGCACGGCAAGCATATACCATTCAGACAAAGCACTCATACACATAAAATTCTTTAATTTTAGTGTTTAGGGTTGGCTGTAATGTAGCTCAGTTTGTAGACTGCTTGCCTAACAGGCACAAATCCCTGTTAAATCTCCAGCACCACCATGGTGGTACATGCCTGTTATTCTAGCACTTGGGGGAAGGAGGGGGTGTCAGGAGGATCAAAAGTTCAAGGTCATCTATCCTCAGCTATATAGTAAGGCCAGCCAGGGCTACATGAGACTGTGTCTCAGAAATAAAGTATTAGGGCTAGAGAGAGATAGCCCAGTAGTTAAGAGCACTGACTGCTCTTACAGAAGACCTAGGTTCAGTTCTCAGGACCCACATGGCAGCTCACATCTGTAACTCCAGTTCCAGGGCATCCAGTGCCCTCTTATGGCCTCCATGGGCACTGCATGGCACAGGTGCACTTAGATAGATGTAGACAATGCATTTATACACAATAAATAAATGAATTAATAAATAAATGCTAAAATGCTAAATAAATAAATTTAAAACAAGGTGTTATTGGGCAGGGGGTGTAGCTCATTTTGATCCCAGCACTGCCCCCAAATTCATGATTTTAAAGTATATTCCTGACTCACAGGTCATATAATGCCAAATGGAAGATTGAATTTGACCTGGGGTCATCACCTGCCAACACCTAGTCTGCGTCTTTGAGGTTGCTGATGTGTGCTGAGTGTATACTAGAGAAATTCTATGTGGTGAGGTCCTGCTGCAAGCCTCCTCCAACCTCCCCAGAGACTTCACACTGCAACTTAAGATCAGTCATGGTGGGAGTCTTTACACCATAGTTATTGACAGGCACCTGCTACCATTGAGTGTATCTATGATCCATACACCACACAGAAGTTTAGTACCCCCTTACTGTCTTTCTGTGAGTTATTTCCTCAACAAAATCTGTGAATCCTCTGTCACCAACTGTGTATTTTATCATTTTTTACTGTGTATGAATGTGTGACTGTTTGACTGTATGTGCATCACATATACGCAGGTACCTGTGGAAGCCAGAAGAGGGCATTGGATCCCCTGGAGCTGAAGTTGCAGGTGGTTGCGGGCCACTATGTGGCTTCTGGGAACTGAACCCTTGTCCTCTGCAAGTGCAGCCAGTGCTCTTAACCATTGAGCCATCTCTGCAGGCCCTATCTAAAAGTTTTTATAAGCAGTCCAACTTGAGACTGAAACTTAAGCCTGACAAGATGGCAGGCAGTATGTGACTTAGGAACAGCTATCACATGGCTGGACGGACGGTAGGTTAGCAAATTAAAGTTTTAAAGGCAGTTGTTTCAAGGGCTAAAAAGAGACCCCTATAGGGCCAGTGACAGGGCTCAGCGTATAAATAACTTCCTGCCAAGCCTGACAACCTGAGTTCAATTCCCAAGACCCACATAGTGGAAGGAGAGAACAACTCCCATGAATTGTTCTCTGACCTCCCACGTGCGAGTGCACAGGATGTCACGCGTGCACACACACACACACACACACACACAAATAAAATGTTTTAAAAGAGACCCTGGGAAGTTAGACTGATTGCCCAACAGGCACAAAGCCCTGTTTAACTGTATCCCCAACTGTTACCCTAATCCAACTGGCTACAGACCAAATGTGTGTGTTTTTCTATCGGTAACAGGAATAGAATACCTAACTTGATGAAACTTTATACACTGAGGAGTTAGAAGTAGCCTTGACCCTCATTCTGGGGAAAAAATAAGAATGTGAGACAGAGAGGACGGTTGTGTGGCTCTGTGCTGGATGGTCAACTTTACACATCCGAGACCCACATAGTGGAAGGAGAGAACAACTCCCACAAGTTCTATTGAATTTATAATTCAATAGAACTTCCTCCACCAGACTGGCCTGTGGACATTCCTGTGAGGCATTTTCTTAATTGTTGAATGGTAGAGGAAGGCACAGCCCACTGTGGGTGATGTCACCCCTGGGCAGGTTATATAAGAAAGCAGGCTGAGCACAGGTTAGGGGAGCAAGCCAGTAAGTAGCGTCCCTCCATGGTCTCTGCTTCAGCTCCTGCCTCCAGATTCTTTTCCTGAGTTCCTGCCCCGACTTCCCTCAAGCATGAACTGTGATGGATACATGCAAGCCCACTAAACCTTTTCCTCCCCAAGTTTGTTTTGGTCAAATCATTTTAATCACAGAAATGGAAAGCAAACTAGAATAAACTCCAAGACTGTTTGCCTCAGGAGCTAAGGTTCGACCTGTGTGTGACTTCTCCAGCTTGGGGAGCTGCACCGCCCAATCTAGAGACTGGATTGATTTTGCCAGTGATCTGCAGAGGAACACAAACCTGAAGACTCTGATGCTGAGAAATAACTGCCTGGAAAAGTTTGGGATGTATTACCTGTCAGTAGGCCACCTCAGGAAGCTTGTGTAAGTCTCCTTATTGTTATCGTTGGGTGGATCAAGTGCATCTATGAGAAAATATTTCACAATAATGGGAGAAAGTGATATGTTAAACAAACATAAGTCTTATGGTTGATGTGATAATATAATTATGTGAATGAAAGTCTAGGAAAAATGAGGAGGATGAGAGACAGAGGAAAAGGAAGAGAGAGAGAGAGAGAGAGAGAGAGATATCAAGGTGTATGTTTAGGCTGAAGAGATGGTTCAGCATTTAAAAGTGCTTGCTGTTCTTCTAGAAGACCAGAGTTTGAATTACAATAAATATTTTTATACCTAGTATCCTACAATATATCATGACAATGGGTCCTGTGTGTCTACCATTCAGTTGATGAAATGGAACATTATCAATACCATATTCTCTGCCCATGGGCTGTACCCAACTCCCTGGCCTCCCTACCTTGAAGACAGCTGAACAGACTAGACTCTTTAACTGTATATTGATGTATTAGTTCCTTTTCTGTTGCTTTGATAAAACACCATAATTGAAAGGGACTCACAAAGAGAGTTTATTTTGACTAATGATTCCAGAGGGATAAGAGTTCAGAATGGAGGGGGTGGGGGCACGTGGCCAGGAGCTCAGAGCCCACCCCAGTAGACATACTTCCTCCAGCAAGGCCACATCTCCTAAACCTCCCAAAACAGCGCCACCTACCTGGGCCCGAGTGTATAAATACATGAGACTACAGGGGATATTTCTTGTTCAAATCACAATTGGCAAAATTACTACACACATACACTTAAACATGGCAGCACATAGTTTTCTATTGCCTTGTATTTTACATAGACAGTGGCATCTGCTGACCATTCTCTTTCCTGATTAATAAGTTTTTTTAATCATATGTATGTGTGTGCATTTGCATGCATGCATTGCCCACAGAGGCCAGAAGAGGGTGTCAGATCCCCTGGAGCTGGAGTTATACGTGATTGTGAAATACCTGATGTGGGTGCTGGGAACTGAGCTCAGGTCCTCTGCAAGAGCTGTATGCACTCTTAAAAGCCAAGCCTCTCCAGCCCCCTGATCCATAATTTAGTGTTCATGTACATGTAGTTGATTCTGTGGTGAGTTTCTCTTCACTACTAAATGAATAATCAATGTATCACCTGCAAGGTGAGTTTGGGCTGGTCTTTGCTACACATGTGCACAAGTGCACACATGTGCACACATACATGTATGCTGTCATGGAAATTCTGGGATGGAAGAGGTCTCATCTTCAGTCTGCCAAGCTTGCTTCCCATTTTCCCCATCTCTGGGCCCATCAGAAATATATATGGAAGTTCCCATAGCTTCAAATTCCCTATGACTCTCCTTACCCCTTTCTCCCCAACCTTATGGCCAGCAAATAGCTCTTTATTGTCTTAATTTGTACTCCAATTATTTTAAAATAATCTTTCCATTTTTAAAATTTTTCATTGCATTTATTTACATATGTGTGTGTCCATGCATGCATGCCCCAGCACACGTGTGGAGGCCAGAGGACAACTTTCAGGAGTTGATTCTCTTCTACCATGTTGGGATCAAACTCAGTTTGTCTGTCTTGGCAGCAACGGCCTTTGTCCTCTGAGCCATCGCGCCAGCCCAAAAATCTTACTGTTCAACTTAGTTTCCCTAATATGCATGCCTAGCTATGCATTTGGAGTAGCTCTCCTTTTTAGAGGATTTTATTTTTAATAATGTGTATATGTGTGTGTCTCTGTGTACCCGTGTGAAGAGGCTCTTGGACGTCAACATGAGTACTGGGAACTGAATTGAGTCCTCTGCAAGAGCAGTATGTGCTCTTAGCTACTGAGCATCTCTCTGGCCCTGTATCTCTCCCTTTCTGGTCTCTGAAATTTGTCTCCTGGGGTCATCTCTACATCTGCTATTTATTCGTTTTTCTGGTATCAATCATCTCTTTTACCACCTGTGCTAAATAGCTTTAGTGTCAACTTGATACACCTGAGAAGAGGGAGCCTCAACTGGGGAACTTCCTCCATTGGACTGGCCTGTGGCCATGTCTGTGGGGCATTTTGTTGACTGTTGATGTGGAAGGGCCCAGCCCACTATAGGCAGTGACGCCCTTGGGCAAATGGTCTTGTATAAGAAAGCAGGTTGACCACGGGCCAAGGGAGCAAGCCAGGAAGCAGCATTCCTCCATGGTCTGTGCTCCAGCCCCTGCCTCCAGGTTCCTGTCCTGAGTTCCTACTTGGGCTCCCTCAGTGATGAACTGTGTCCTGGGAGATGTGAACCAAATAAATCCTTTCCTCCCCAAGCTGGTATTAGTCAGAGTGTTTGTCACAGCAATAGAGAAGCTAACTAAGACATCGCCCTCTTAATCCTATTATGTATGTATCTTCCTAACCCCACTATTTTTTCAGTTGGTTATGCACTCACATAAAACTCAAAAGCTCTGAGAGCTGATCATAGAGCCTTAAGGAGCCTTCTGCTTCCAGAAGAAGAGTCAGGTTGAAGAAATCATCCTTCAGCACGAGACCAACAAAACAGTTCATGAAAATGAGCTAAAATTGCATCATGTCTGTGTGTCTCTCTCCCAAGGTTGGAGAACTGTAACCTCACAGAGGCGTGTTGCGAAGGCATTGCCTTCTCCCTCAGGCACAGTAAGATGCTGACCCACCTGAGCCTGGCAGAAAATGCCCTAAAGGATGCAGGAGCAAAGCATATCTGGAGCGCTTTGGAATATTTAATGTGCCCGCTGAAGAGGCTGGTGTAAGTCTCAAAGTATTGTTCTCTTAGAACTCCATGAAGGGGAGGACGGTGGTTAAGAGAGCGTTGGGAATTCATTTATGCAGTACGTGAAGCACTGTGCTAGTTTTGTCAACTTGACACAGTCTAGAATCACCTGGGAAGAGATTCTCAAAGGATTGTCTAGAGTAGGTAGGCTAGCCTGGGGACATGTCTGTGGGGCATCAGTTTCAGAGGCAAATCGAGTTCCCACCTCAGCTCTCTGAGGTGAGATGACACTTCAAACCCAGGCATGGCGCTGTTGCAGAAAACTGCATCCAGCAAGGAACCAAGCACCACTCGGAGGGCTAGGGAACTCAGGTGTCTTTAAACCAGCAAACACACAAGAGCTAGTGCTCTCACGTTCTGGGCCCCAAATCACAGTTCTTTACAGTTTTTGTCAGTTTTCCTTCATTATTTCTCAGTTGCTGCAGCATTGGTGGGTTCAAATGGCACTTACATGACCATCAACCTCAGATGGTCTCGTGACTGAGGACCACCAAGGCATTGTGAAGATTTTCAGGTTTGAAGGGCATTAAGGAATATTGAATCTTTTAATTATTTTATTTTTATTGAATTTTTCCAATTTTCATACAATATAGTTTGATGGTATTTAGATCCACTCCCCTCTCCACCCCCCTACCCCAACCCAATTTATATATAATATGGCTGTAGAATCTGATTTGTGTTCCCGAATGTCCTTTATTGTGGGCCTGTCCACTGGTCCCAACAGGAGTCCCATCCCTGTAGACACTGACTCTCCCCCTCCCAGCAGCCATCAATTGCCAAAAAGTTCCTTTGGCTGGGCTGGGATTTCTTACCCACTTCCCCATGTCTATGCTGGGATTTTGTCTGGTTTGAGCTTGCATAGGACTTGTGCATGCTGTCACCATTGCTGTGAGATCATATGAGTGAGTGACCAGCTGTCTGGAAGATTCCGTTTCCTTGTGGTCATCCAACCCCTCTGGCTTTTCCAATCTTTCTGCCTCCTCTTCCTCAGTGATCCCTGAGCCTTTGGAGACAGATGTTTGAAGTAGGTGTCCTATTCAGGGATAAGCACTCTGTGGCCTCTTGTTCTCTGCACATTGGCCAGTTGTGAGTTTCTATGTTAATCACCATCCACTGCACAGGAAACTTCTGTGATGAGAGCTGAGAGATGCAGTCATCCTATGTGCAGAGGTTGCATTGAAGATGTGCCACATTTTGAATCATTTTAATGGTTCATTTCTATTACTTTTAAAATTATTGGGGGGGGGGTGCTTATGCATGTGAGTACAATGCCCAAGGAGGCCAGAAGAGGGCATCGGATCTCCTGGAACTGGCGCTACAAGTGGCCGTGTACCACCGTATACTGGAAACCAAACTCGGGTCCTTTGCAAAGGCAGCACACTCAGTCACTGAGCCATCTCTCCAGCCCTGGAATATTGGATCTTTATCATCCCAGGTGATGCTAGCCAGAAGTCATCGCATCTGAGTGCTAACAGCACTAAACACCTTCCCAGTGATACTATGTATTTCCAAAGTCAGGTTATAATAACTACTGTGCAGATGTATCACAAATTAAATGAGGAGAAAGGTGCTAAGGACGGTGCAAGCCAAGGAGGTCTGGAAACCTTTGATCCCATGAGTTCCCGTCTCCAGTGTTCTGGGGGAGTGTTTGGCCTTTGCCAGCAGAAGGAAGTCATGAGACCTGGCTTCCTGCCTAGGGAAGAGTGTCTTGTTATTAGCACAATGGTAGCAGGATACATTTCCAGATGATACTGTTGGGCGTTTTTCTCACTCTACCATGGGTTCCTTAGATGGTTTTCCTTTAAGTGTGTGTGTTCATCACTTTTCTTATTGTTGTGACCGAATACCCAACAAGAAGCGATTTAGGGCAGGAAGGGTTTATCTTGGTTTGTGATTCAAGAAGATGGACTCCATCGTTGTGGAAAAGGCACAGTGACAGAACCATAAGCCAGCTGGTTGTGGCTGGCTGCAGTCAAGATAGGATCGGGGTAAATTAACCTAATGTGGAGCAAATAAACCTCGGCATAACTTTGTTCTGTTTGGTAGATGAGTAAGTACTAACAGATGTGTTTGAAAAGAACCTTTGGTTCTCCTAATAATAAGCCTAATAGTAAGTGTGCTTGTTGATATATGTAGAAGTAACAGTTAGGACATTGGACGCTTCTACTTGTCCCTAAATCATAAAGGCCACTTTAAGCTCAGTCTCAGGCTGAGATGGGACTAGGCAGATGACCACAAAATCACAGTCTATGATCTTAAGAAAATGTCTGCTGACAATGTGTCTTGTTTGTTAAAATGGAATTGTACTGGCATCAGCAATATATCACATTACCGGGATGTCACAACCCTTGCCCACTCTTACCCAAAATACCTGTTTTTGTAAAAACTCTGACCTTTTAAATTTCCTATAATGGCCTAAAGGGCATGTACTTCTGTGGTGGAAGTCACAAATCCACCAACATGGTCACTACCAAAGGAGGATGTGAAAAATCCTGTAAAAACCCACATGTATCTCCAAGCCAGGTCTCTGTTTCTCTGGAGCAGGAGCTCAGACTGGGGCCCAAGTGTTAAAGAAAAAAAGGAGGTTCTGGAGAGATGGCTCAGCAGTTAAGAGCACAGACTGCTCTTGCAGAGGACCTGGGTTTGATTTCCAGCATGCACATGGCGGCTAACAACCGTCTAAAACTCCAGTTCCAGGGGATCCTTCATTCTCTTCTGACCTCCATGAACACTGCATGACACAGGTGCACTTACATTCAGGCAATGCACTCATACACATAAAATAAACATAATAAATAAATTTTTTAAAAAGATAAACTTCTTCCACTTTGTGAATATGGTTGGAGCTCTCTCACTGTACTAGGCCAGTCTTGGTATAATCTTGTAACAGAACCACAGAGCCAAAAAGCAAGTGGGGCTATGAAACCTCAGACCTTGACTGGTCAGATGGCTCAGCAGGTGAAGATATTTGACAGCCTGAGTTTGATCCCCAGGACACACATGATGGAAGAAAGAACTGACTCCAGCAAAAATGTCTTCTGACCTCCACATGTGTGGGCACGTGCACACACACAAATAACCTCCCTAGTAACTCAGTTCCTCCAGCAAGGCCCTACCTCCTAAAGGTTCAACAACCTCACAAAACAATGCCACCAGCTGGGAACCAGGTGCACAAATACATGAGCGTATGAAAGACATTCACACTCAGACCACAACATGATTCTGACAGTTATTGATAGAAAATAACCTCACATTGTCTTACCCAGTAGTTTGTGGCTCATAGAACCAGAAAGAAAAGGTTACTACAGCCACACTTGTTGGTCCCTGGGTCCATTTTATTTATTTCTTTTTTTAACCTACAGAGTCCAATTAGCATGACTGGGATATTAGCAATGTACCAGTGGCTACCTTCCCCACAAAAAGTGACTCTTTCTCCCCCAGGAACCATCAGCTGTCAATAGCTCCTCCAGCTGTACTGGAATTTAATGTTTTATTCTAAATTTGAGCTCCAATCATTTTAAAATTTTTATTCCAATTTATTTAGTTAGCTATTTATTTATTTGGTTTTTTTTATAGACAAGGTCTCCCTGTAGTCCCACCTGGCCTAGAAGTCACTATGTAGACCAAGCAGCCTTGATCTTACATCTGCCTCCCAAGTGCTTAGATTTAAGGTGTAATCACCACACCTGGCTTATTTATTTTGTGTGGTGTGTGTGTACACATGCAGATATGGAGATCAAAGAACAACTTTTGGAAGTTGGTTCTCTCCTTCCACCCCATGTGTTCTAGGGATCCAACTCATCATCTGGCTTGGTGGCAAGTGCCTTTACCCGCTGAACCATCTCACCAGCCCTCCAAGACCATTGTAGCTCAGCCTTTACTTTCCCCTATACAAGCTTCATCCTCAACAAAACCTTAGGTGCAAGATAGCTTCAAATTTGTACCCCTATAGAGTCAAATTTGCATCCCCAAGTACCCCTCAGCGTGGACCCATTAGACTCTGGTCAACCTACCAAGAGTCCCCCCCACCCCCAAACAAGACTGACTCTTCCCTTCCCAGAAGCCATTGGTTGCCAATAGCTCTTCAGAGTTAGGGTTTCTTACCCACCCCCCCACACTCATACTGGGATTTTGTCTGCCTCCAGCTTGTGTGGGACTTGTGCATGCTGTCACCATTGCTGTGAGTTCATATGAGTAACTTCCCAGCTGTCTGAAAGACTCATTTCCTTGTGATCATCCACCACCTGTGGTTCCTACTATCTTCCCACCCCATCTTCCCCAATTGTCCCTGAGCCATGGGAGACAGAAGTTTGATATAGGCAGCCTCTTCAGGGATAAGCAGCCTCTTATTCTTTGCATGTTGGCCAGTTGTGGGTCTCAGTGTAAATTATCATCTGATGCATGAGACGTTTCCCTTGTGAGAGTTGAGAGATGCGTTAAGCTATGGGTATATCAATAAGTCATTAGGAATCACTTTAATACTGTATCTGTTTAGCAGAATAATAGTATTAGGCTCTCCCCTATGTCCTGTGACCTGTCCAGCCACAGGTTTAGTGTGTCTATGTCTGCGTGTGGTGTGGGAGGTGTGCATGTGCCACAGTGCATGCGTGGAGGTCAGAGGACAACTGGTAGTAATGGGTTCTCTCTTTCCACCGTGTGGGTTCCAGAGATCAAACACAGGTCATCAGCCTTAGCAGCAGGTACCTTTATCTACCGTACCATCTCACCAGCCCATCTTCCATATTTTAATATCAAGATCATAGTGAAGGAGGCACAGAGAGCTGTTGCCTACAAAAATAATGATCACCTACACTGTGTCACCTGTAGTACCCCCACAGTGCTTTGACACAAAGTAATTGGAGTGACGTCTACATAGAGAATTGTCTGTTTTTAGGACTTTGGTGTCATTGGGGAAATGGGCAGGTATATTTGAGAGTGCACAAGAAGTAAGGTAGCATTGAGGAATGGAAATCCAGAGCCACAGGGTTCCAGATAGAGGGACTTGCATTGCTCTATGTGAGTTTCTTAGATACAAAGCCCTGAATTCTGAAAACACTGTATTTGCATTAGTTGGAAACAGGTTATACAGTGAAAAATCGTTATTTTATTTTTGAGACAGTCTCTCTATTCCAAGCTGGCCTTAAATTTACTATGTAACTAGGATAGGCTTGAACTCCTGATCCCCCTGCCTCTGCCTCCTGAGTGCTGGGATCACGAGTGTATGCCACCATGTCTGCTTTATGTGGCACTAAGGATTGAACCCAGGGTTTGGTGCATGCTAGGCAAGCACTCTACCATCTGAGGTACATCTCCAGCCTGAATTCTGGCTATTTCTACAAGATGGACGAGGAAAGAGGATGGTAAAACAATGAAAAAGAATCCAAAAATGCCCACAGTGCTTTTCTGGTGCTAACAGTCCAATAGTTTCAAAGAGTAATATTTGAGAATTTCATACAATGTACTTTGATCATATTCAGACCTCCACTGTCTCTCCCCCACTTACTGCCATCCTCACTGCATGTCCTCTGTTATTACTCACCTTTTATCAACATCCAAGAAACAGATTAGACCTGAGAAACCGCTTATTGTAATTATTAATGTTATTAATTGTGCAAGTACTGGGGTTCACTGTGATTTTTTTTCCAGATTTTTTAAAAAATTATCTTAAGGGCTGGGTGTGGTGGCACACACCTTTAATCCCAGCACTCAGGAGACAGAGGCAGGTGGATCTCTGTGAGATCAAGTCCAGCCTAGTCTATATATCAAGTTCCAGGCCAACTGGGACTACAGGGAGACCCTGTCTCACCAAAACAAAAAAAATAACCAATTACTAATTTATTAAGTATTAATTTATTCTTTGATAATTTCATAGATGTATGTAATGTATTGTGAGCATATCTATTCCCTATTATCTCCCCCCAACTGTCTCCATACACCACTCAACACATCTCCCTCCCAACTTAATAGCTTTTTAAAAACCTCTGCATCCTATTAGTACTGCCTGTATACAAGTGGGTCATCTACTGGACTCATGGAAAGCCTACTATTGACCACACCCCCCAAAGAAAAACGACTCTCCCTCCCCTAGCTGCTATCATCTGTCAATAACTCCCCAGCTAGGGGTGGGGCCTCATGAGCCCTTCCCTCCTCCTTGCTGGGATTTTGACTGGCTTAATCTTGTACAGGTCTTGTGCAGGTAACCACAGCTGTTCATGAGTGCAACAGTCATGACATGTCCAAAAAACAGCATTTCACAGCACTCCTCCCCACCCCGCCTCCCGCTCTCAAATTCTTTCTGCCCCCTCTTCTGCAATGTTTTCTGAGCTTTGGTAGAGGAGTGGGTTGATAATGATGCCTCATTTACAAAAGAAAAAAATGTAAGACATAAGTAAAAACCAAGAGTGCTTTGGTTGGTATCTCTTTGCAGGCTGAGACACTGTTCTTTGACCTCAGCCTGCTGTCAGGACATGATCTCTGCTCTCAAGAACAATAAGAGTCTGATAAGTCTGGACCTGAGTCTCAACAGCCTGAGGAATGATGGGATAATCCTGCTCTGTGAATCTATGGTAGAGACGGACTGTAACTTGTTGATTCTGGAGTAAGTCTCCCTAGTTTCCTCTTCTAAAGCTACGACCTAACGTTCTCTCAGTGTAGAATATGGGAGAGGATATTTACAGTTCTGGGTGATTCCTTCCGTTTAGTTGGATGTCTCAAAGTTTCAGAACAGTAGTTCTCAAAATACAGTCTTCAGATAGAAGTATTTCCATCTGGGAAGTGGTTAGAGATGCATGTTCTCATGGTGACCCAGCATGGGCAACAACTCAGGAAAGCCACATCCCGAGAGCCCCTTGCACAACTTGTAGCAACGCCAGCAAAAAATTCTCTACCCAAGGATTGTTACTGCTTATGTAACCTTGAAGGGAACTTGAGACTCTCATAAGTTACAAGAGTCCTGATCTTGTAAGTTTCAAGGACTTCCTAAGTCTGTGAACCTCCTTTCTTCCCCCCCTCGCCCTTTAAGGGACTACTTCAATCCAGAGGAAATAGCCACAGACTCCTCTTATAGTCTGGCATTGTATTTACAACACACAGCATTTTTCTTTTTTGTATATTTTTACTGAATTTTGTGTATTTCATACACAACATCTTACTCATCTTTATACCCTCTTACCCATGAGTACCCTCCCATAGTCCTCCGACTGGATTTCATACATTCTCTCATTTATGTTAAGGCACATCGAGTCCAGTTAGTATCCCCTGACATCCCTCTGTGCAAGGTCATGCACTGAGGGCTAGTTAGCGTAGCTAAAGTCACTCCCTTAAAGATCAGCTCCTCTTCACTCAGTAGTGATCAGCTGCCCAATAGTTCTTTGGCTAAGATTGGAGCTTGTTACCCAATTCCACAGTTCCATGCTGGGATTTTGTCTGGTTAAGTTTGCATGGATCTTGTGCATGCTGTCACCATTACTATAAGTTCATAAGAGCAAGGTCCCAGGAGCCTACAGGACTCCATTTCCATATGGTCATGCACCTCCTCCCTTGGCTCTTAGAATCTTTCTTCCCCCTCTTCCACGATGGTCCCTGAGCCCTGGGTTCATTGCCCTCTGTTGTATGAAGGAGCTTCAATGATGAGAGTTGAGAGATGCATTGGTATTCTCTTTACCCCCTGTCCCACTATGTTCTGTGAGTCATTTTTCTGTGGGGCCAGGGTTGTTTCTGTACCCATCTCTCATGTTTTGCCAGGAATGCCAAAAACTTTTTAAAAAGAAAAAGAGAAACAACTTTATGAGACAGGGTCTCACAAAGTCCAGGATGGCCTCAAATTCACTATGTAGCTAAAGATGACCTTGAACTCCTGATCCTCCTGCCTCCACCACCTCAGTGTCAGCATGGCAAGTGTATACCACCATGCTCAATTTTATGAGTATTGGGGCCAATAACTTCTTCTAAAAGAGCTAGAGTACACAGTACATTCAGATCACGACAGCATTCTGTGTGAATATGCTGTTAGCCCTCTACAACCACGGATTCAACCTTCATTGCACTAAATATAGGCTGAAAATATTCAGGGAAAAATTGCATTGTACTAAACATGTACTGACTTTTAAAATTCTTAATTTGTTCTTTGAGACTTTCATACATATATACAATGTATTTTTTGCCGTATCTACCCTCCACTCTGTTCACCAACTTCTCCAGGATATTCCCCACCATGGCCCCTCCCAACCTCATATCCTTTTTTGAAAATTACCCATTGAGTTCAGTTAGTGCTGCCCATATGTAAATGGATGTGGGACCATCCAACGGGGTATGGACACTCTATTAGAGCCCACACCACCCCTGATGAATACCCTGGATGAACCCCAGCAGCCAGCAGCTGCTGATAGGTCCTCAGCTAAGAGTAGGGTTTTGGGACCCCCTCACCATCCATGCTGGGATTGTGATTGGCTTGGTCTTGTGCAGGTGACCACAGCACTGTTCTCTGTGAGTGCAACTACTATCATGTCCGGAAGACATTGTTTCGTGGCTGTACTGACGTTTTTCTTGTCATTCTTTTCCCTAAAGAATGCAGTATCAAAACTACGAGGCTGAGCCAGGCGTGGTGGTCACACCTTTCATCCCAGCTCTTGGGAGGCAGAGATGGGTGGATCTCTGTGAGCTTGAGGCCAGCCTGGTCTACATAGCAAACCCAAGGCCAGCTGTGGCAACAGGGAGACCCTGTCTCAAAAAATAAACAAACAAGTAAACAAAAACTATGGGGGCTGGAGAAATGGCTCAGTGGTTAACATGTACTGCTCTTGCAGAAGGCATGAATTCAGTTCCCAGTACCCACATCAGGCAGCTGTGAGGGGTAACCCCAGCTCCAGGAGACCTGACACTGTCTACTGGCCTCCAAAGGCAGCTGAATTCATGTACACACACACACACACACACACACACAAGTATACACACACACACGCACATAATTAAAAATACAATATTTTTAAAACCTATTCACAGATTTGGGGAGATGGCGGAGCAGGTAAAATGCTTACTATGCAAACATAAGGACCTGAGTTTGATCCAAAGTGTATAAAAAGTCAAACACGTGGGAAGGCAAAGACAGGCAGATCCCCGGAGTTCACTGGCCAATCTACCTAGCCTAATACTCAAGTTCCAGGCCAATGAAGGACCCTGTCTCAAAAAGCAAGATAAACACTGCCTGAGGAGTCATGACACCCAAGGTAGATCTCTGGTCTCCATGAACACACACACACACGTACATACACACCCCCATACATATATACACATATACACAAATATGCATACATAGACACACATAGACACATATACACAAATATGCATACATAGACACACAAACAGACACATATACACATATGCATACATACACATATAGACAGACACACATACAAACACACACATAAACATATGCATATACACATATATACATATCCATATGCACATCCAAACATAGACACACATACACATGCACACACACACATATATGTGTACACACAGACACAGACACATACATACACATATATACACAAGTATACATGCACACATATACACACAGCCCCTTTTACGGAAGAGCCTTGAGCACTTAACTCCAAAGAAGGCCCTTGAGTCCATCCCTGCGAACACTAAGGGACCATTGTAGCTCTCCGGTCACTCCCTTACTTCCCACCCTGCACCTGCGGGTTTCGAGAACCCAGGAGTGACATGACATGTCATGACATGACATGTTCTGACATATGTCCCCTGTTATACTGGCACACAGGTAGCGTAAACAAAAGAACTTTTGGGACAGGCTCTCACACATCCTATACTGGCCTTGAACTCCCTGCGTAGCCAAGGATGACCTTAAATTCCTGGTCCTCCTGCCACCACCACCTGGGTGCTAGAATAGCAAGTGAGCACCACCACACCTGCTTTGTGTGGAGCTAGGGATTAAAACCAGGGCATCCTGAATGCTGTCAAGCACTCTGCTAAGTCAGTTATGTCCCCAACACCCCCCCCAATTTAATGAATTTAGATAAGTAGTTATAATAGATTTTTGAAAGATACACAATAGATTTAATTTCTTAGAGTGAAAAGCTCCATTCCCTACTCTTTATTTTAGTGTGTGTGGTACATGTGTGTGTGTGTGTGTGTGTGTGTGTGTGTGTGTGCCCATGGAGGCCATCAGGTGTCTTCATCTATCACCATCTGCCTTTATTTTAAAGATTCATGCATATGTGTGTCTGTGTGTATATGCACATATGGAGGTGGAGGCCAGAAGGGGACGTCAGATCCACTTTCTCTGGAGTTATACATGATTGTGAGCCACACGATTTTGGTACTAGGAGCCGAACTCTAACCACAGACCATCTCTTCAGCTCCTCCACCTTTTGGGTTCTTTGACAAGGTCTCTCACCAAACCAAAGCTTGCAGTTTCAGTTAAGCTAGCTGGCCAGCAAGCTCCCAGGATTCACCTGTCTTCACCCTTACCCCAGCACTGGGGTCATGGACTTGTGCGGCCATGCTTGCTTTATCCATGGGTGCTGGTCTTGAACTCGGGTCTGTGTGTTCTCACAGCAAGCACTCTCACCACTGAGCCATCTTGCTAACCCCTCATTGCCTATTCTTGAAAAGCACTGGCTGCTGCCTGGCAGGGACTTGGAAGGTGCTTCAGTGTGTGTGACCTGGGGCACATATGAGATGGGCCATCAGAGGGGCCTGGTGGAACTGGTGACGTCCCTTCTGTCTGTTTCTGTCCCACAGGCTGGAGCAGTGCATGTTCACCTCCATCAGCTGCCAGGCTCTGAGTTCCATGCTCTGCAGGTACAAGAAGCTGAGATACCTGGACCTGAGCAACAATGACATCGAACTCCAAGGCATACTGACCTTGAGTCGGCCCTTCCTGAGCCAATGGGCAGTAAACAAGGTCATTCTGTAAGTCCTGAGAGGAAACAGTGATCCTCGCCTCATTAGAGTACTGGAAACTCAGAGTAGGGACAGCAAACAGTTTGTTTTTCAACCTTGCAAACTCTGGCATCAGCTTAGAGAAAAGGCAAAGATGGCCAGCATGCCGATTTGGCATGCAGCAATGGCCTTTATGGCCCTGGATTGCATTTTCCTGCCGCTGAGTGCCTCGCTGGCTGAGTTCTCTCTGGAGGTACAACCTCCCAGTGTCTAGCATTGCTCCCTCCCCAGAGTCCTCATCCTAGGGCTCAGGGTGAAAAGACTTCTCTAATGTATATCCTGGGGCTAGAGACCATCTCCTCTTCTGACCAGTGCGCTCAGTCACAGAGCAGACTGTACCTTCAAGCCCAGGATGAACTGAGAGAACCTGGACAAGCAAGCTCCACCAGCTGGAGAAGGCATGCACATACACATACATATACACACAGACACAGTACACATGAACACACATGCATATACACATACATATGCATGCATATACACACATACATACACAGTACACATGAACACACGCATACATACATATGCATACATATACACACAAGTATACATACACAGTACATGTAAACACACATGCATGCACACACATACACACAAACATATACATAAACACATGAACACATGCATTCACAAACACATACATACATACACAGTACACATGAACACACATATACATATGCATATATATACACAAACATGTATATGCATACATATACACAAACATACATAGTACACATGAACACACAAGTGCACACATGCACATGCATACATATACACACAAACATATAGAGTATATGCAAACATACAACAGTACATATGAACATACACATGCACACACATAATATATACACACATATACACACAGACACACATAAACATGCATGCATATACATAGATACACAAACACATACATTTATAAACAATACACATAGACATATGCACACACAGACACACGTATACATATATATGCATAGACACACACACAAACACACATAGACATAAACACAAACATATAGACAGACATACACAGAGGCACACATACATATACACATACAAACATACACAGACACACACACATACACACAGAGACACACACATACACACACATAGACACCTATACAAACATATAGACACACACACATACACACAGAGACACACACATACACACACATAGACACCTATACAAACATATAGACACATACACATAGACACACATGCATACACACATACAAACACATAGACACCTATACAAACATATAGACACACATACACATAGACACACATGCATACACACAAACACACAAACATACATAGGTACACACACATACACTGGCACAAACACGTAGCGTGCGTCCCTCATGAGCTCTAAACGCATCTCATACTGACGATGGACAGGGTTCCCTTTCCACAGTCCTCACTGGGCTTCTCAGGCACAAACCCAACTCCAGGACAGCCCCTGGTGGAAAGACGCACTCTCCCGGGCAGCTGGCAGCCTGTCTGGTTCCTGGGGCCTCAGCACCCTCCCCACCACCACTCAGACCAGCCTCCTGTCTAACGGTCTGTGCTCTTCTGCCTGACAGTTTTTCCCTTTTCCTTTGTTATTGTGCTGGGTTTTGTTGGCTTTCTGTTTCTGTCATTTTGTTTTTGTTTCTTTTGTTTCTATGTATCCTGGGCTATCTTCAAACTTGACCTCCTCCTGCCTTAGTCCCCTGAGCACCAGGATTACAGGTATGTACCCCCATGTCTGGCTGCTTCCTTCTTTTCACATCGTAACTGAGCTGTGTGGCTGTGACTAACCCAGTCTGCCTTTGTGCCTCAGCTTCCCTGTCTGTAAGACTCGGGTGGACTCTTCACGCAAGCTCAGGATGGGCACTCAAGGCACTGAGCACTCTCACGCTGTCATGCAGGAGTGGATTCTGGGTGCAGGAATCATTGTGTTTGGTACATTCATTGTCCTCTCCTGCATAGCAAATGATGTCAGCAGGTGCTGACCTAAAACAGCAAGTGCTCATTGTCTCCGAATAGTTGGTCAGACCTACAAGACAGGCTTACCTGGATGGTTCCAGATCATGGTCTCCCACCAGGTCCCGGTGGGGCTGTAGCTGAGGTATGGGGGGACTCTTGAACCTGCTGCTCGCTCAGGTCCCCCTGACCAGAGCTACCATTGCTCTTCATAAGGTTGCTCAGGACTGTAGCTGGTTTCCTCCAGAACACAAGACAGAGAAATACGGGGTTACCTACATAAGCATGGTACCTTTGTTTTACTCTGGTAGAGAGAGAGAGAGAGAGAGAGAGAGAGAGAGAGAGAGAAACACAGAGACAGACACAGAGACACACAGAGAGATGGACAGAGACAGAGACAGGCAGAAAGATGGGTAGAGATATAGAAAGAGGTGGACAGAGACAGATAGAGATGGACAGAGACAGAAGGACAGAAACAGAGAGACAGAGAGACAGAAACAGAGAGAGAGATGGACAGAGACAGATGGACAGAAACAGAGAGAGATATGGACAGAGACAGATGGACAGAAACAGAGAAAGATGGACAGAGATGGATAGAGACAGAGATAGAAACAGACAGACATAGAGGGATGGACAGAGAGAGACACACAGAGATGGATAGAGATATAGAGAGAGGTGGATAGAGACAGATACAGAGAGAGACAAATGCACAGAAGGATACACATGCAGAGACCCAGAGACACAGACCCAACAAGACACATGGAGACAGAGATACAAAGACAGAGAGAGACACAGAGACACACAGACATGCATAGAGGCTCAGAGACACAGACAGGTACAGGGATGTGCCCAGGGACATAGATATGCAGAAAGACAAAAACATAGAATGTCAGAGATAAACAGCGGTACAGAGATACAGAGAGACACATGGAGAGACAGAGGCACGCAAAGAGAGACACCCAAACCCACAGAGGCAGAGATGTACAAATACGCATTCGGAGACACAGAGACAGAGATGAGGGACAAGCATAGGGATACACGAACACAGAGAGACACAGACATGCAGAGAGACACACAGCTATCCAGACAGCTAGACACAGACACCCAGACTGAGATGGAGTGACAGGTATACAGAGTCAGAGAGACAGAGACATAGAGACACACAGAGACAGGAAGCCAGACGACGCAACTGACTATTTTTTTGGTCTTTTTGAGACAGGGTCTCCCTGTATCCCCAGCTGGCCTAGAACTCGCTATGTGGACCAGGCTGGCCTCGAGTTCATAGAGATCCACCTGCCTCTGCCTCCCGAGTGCCCAGCTCAGACTTTTTATCACTCTGAATGTGCAGTGCATTCACTTGTCTTACTGTACTGATTACTCAGACCAGCCCTGGCTGACCGGGAAGAGGATGGGGAAGACAGGAGCAGGGTCGCTGAGCCATCTGGGAGGCTGACTACCTCGCCCAGGCCCCCACCCAGCTCTTACAAGCTGCTGTTGATCTCTGTCTACTCAGTGGCCCAGGCTGGTCTCCTGGGTGGAGACTTCGTGTCCTATAAGTTCTGTGTACTTTTCTAGGATTGCAAAAGCAACTGATGAATGAGCTAATGAAACTATGTCCTTCACAGGGAGAAGAAAGTGACTGATGAGGTGGACCCATACACTAGACTGATGGGGCCAGATGTGGAAGAGGGCTTTCTGAGGATTGTGCAGAACTGGAACTCTTAGTGCCACAAGCTGCCAGACAAATGCATCTGGTGGCCCTCCTGGCAGATTCCTCCTAATTAAAACTTGGGGAACACTTGGCTGGTCTGCAGGCCCTTCCAAGTCTAGAATGGGGCACATCATAGGGCATGACTTCAAAAACACTTCCTCAAAATTATGGACTGCCACTATGTTCAGATGCAGAGTTGTCACAGAGGTGGAGACAGGGAGGTTAGGAGAGTTGGAAAATACCTGCTTTACCTCCCCGGGTGTTGGGAGACTCTCATTAAATGTGCACACAAATGCAACATGAATGTTCAAGTGTCGTTTACCAGTTGACTGGACATCCATCCTTCAGAAGAAAGAATTCTGTTCCATAACTTATCTGAAAATTTCCATGGAAAATCTCCAAGACAGGTGATGGCATGGTGTTTCAGGAAACCATAGAGAGAGAGACATGGACAGATACCGAGAAATACAAAGACAGAGATACAGAACCAGAGAGATACAGGAGAGACACAAAAATAGAGACAGACAGAGAAATATACAGAGACACAGAAACAAAGACAAGTAGAGACAGAGTATCAGAGAAACAGAGACAGAAAGATACACAGACACACAGATGTACAAACAGGAAGACGGAGACATGCATACAGAGACAGGCAGATATGGGAAAGCATGTATGTACACAGAAAAACAAACGGAGAGAGAAAGGTACAGAGACACAAAGAAACATGCAGAGTTGGAGAGATAGACACGGAGAGGAGGACACTGTCACACACACACACACACACACACACACACACACACACAAGCAAAGGTACAGATCTCTGCATACAGAGTATACAAAAATGAGATGTGACTTGTGTGGCTTTCCCTGCGGACACTAGAACAAGTCAGCTCATAGTAAGACACCTGCAGGCCTATGTTTACTGCAGCTAAGCAAGACCCCATTATGGGGCTGCAGAGATGTTCAGTGTTTAAGGGTTTCTGCTCCTCTTAGGACCTTTGACTTATCTTCACATAGATGGAACTGGTAAAAGAAAGGAGCCAGGGTCTCCTCCCAAGCTCATGTGACCCCTGAGGAACAGATCCTCAAATATTGATTTATTTGAGCCAACTGTATGGTCTTAAACACCCAAAAGGAAAGTATAACCAAAGAGTAAAGTCATCAGTATATTTCTTAAAGAGTTCAAGAAAAGTTCATATTTCCAAGGGATTACACTTCCCAGACATTAGGCTTAAGTCTATATAAAAAGTTAGCTAGTTCTCATTGATGATTTTGTTCCTAATCAGAAAGTGCTGCTCAGATGTAAGACTTCAAATCTTGGTCTCCAAAACTCTAGTACCCACCTGTAGCTAAGGGAGACAACCAGCTACTGTTCTAAAATGATAGATAAATTTGTTTTCTCCCTCTACCTAGAAGCCTTTGAGAGGGAACTGACACTGATTCTAACCACTCCAACAGCTATCAAAATACCTGAAAGCCAATCCTGAATCCATCACTCTCGAGTCCATCCTTGTCAGACAAAAGAAAAATGATGAGGAACCCAATAGAAGGATGCTTTGGGAAGCCCTTGTCAAGAAATTCCAGTGGACTCTCATATGAACATTTGAAAATTGCCCTGTTCTGACTTTTTTCTAGTTCCCTGTCTAGAACTTGTAATGCTTATTGCTGTTGCCTTTACTTCTCCTTCACATCTCCTATTCATGATTCAAGGACTTTCTTTTCCCCTTAGAGATAAGAGTTATGCAATTTGAGAGTCTTTTAGAGAGACCCACTGAAGGGGTATTCCAATTGCCTCACCCTGCGTCCCTGTTCAGCATGGAAGAAGCCAGGGCAGTCTGGGTCCCTATTCCCTACTGGTAATTTGGGTAACCCCTTCAGAGGATGGTGTGATAAGAATAGGAGGTAGGAATTGGCTAGGCAGTTTAGGGTAAAAAGACCTCAAAAGTAGCCAGTTTCTTGGCTAAAAGTCAAAATGTCTTTGGGACTCTTAGCAACATACTCTGTTCTAAAGGCCAAAAATGTCAAATATTTGGGAGCTTGTATCTAATCCTTAAAAGATTTTAGGGTTACTTCTTCAGAGGGGGGATGTTAGAGTAGCCAAAAGTCCCATAAAAATAAAGAAGAAAAAAGTCCCTATTTCTCTTGCAAAGGACCCATGTCAGATGACACAGCCACCTGTAACTTCAACTCCAAGGTATCTGACAACTTCTTCTGGACCACAGGCACCTACACACACATGCACAGATCTATAAACATACACACACATACATAATTTAAGAAGTATTTTTTAAAAATTAAAATTGGGGCTAGAGAGATGACTCAGTGGTTAAGAGCACTGACTGCTCTTGCAGAGGACCCAGGTTTGATTCCCAGCACCCACATGGTGGCTAACAACTGTCCATAATTCCAGTTCCAGAGGAATCTGATAGCCTCTTCTGACTTCTGCAGGCATTGCACAACATGGATGCACTTACACACATGTAGGTGATACACTCGTACACATTAAATAAAAATAAAATATTTTTTAAAAAATTTAAATTGTGTTGTGTGGTTCCCACATCCTGTATATTCTGCAATAGATGTTTTTAATTCTTTAAGTTTCATGCACATACAGTGTTAGGCACTTTCAACCCCCGAGCCCTTTCTCATTGCTTTCTTTTCACACGGAACCCCTTGTATTTTCATGAAGAGAAAGAGAGGCTGAGTTTAAGATTGCTTACATGAGCATAAGTGGAAGTTATTCACTGGAACACAGGCAACTTATCAGTGGCTACACCACCAAAGTAAGTGACACTTCTTCCCCAGCTCCCATTAGCTGTCAATAGTCCCTCAGGGAGGGGTGGAACCTCTGGGGCCCCTCTCCCTTCCATGATAAAATGTTGAGGCCTAATCTCGTGCAGGTCCTGTGTGGGTGGCCACAGCTGCCATGAGTTCATGAGTAGTTAGCTATGTCATTCCCAGAACACATCTTTTGGCAAGACACCACCCCATTATTTCCACAGCCCCCTTCCAGGATGTTGCCTGAGCCTTGGAGGGGGTGATATAGATGTCTCATTTAGAGACTGGCACTCCACTCTCCCTCAAGTTTCTGCATTAACCACTACCCAGTTTGGTAAGAGGTTTCTCTGACCAAGGCTGAGCAGCACTAATCTACAGATAGAAACATGAGTATTTAGAAGGCAGTCTGGAGGCTGGAGAGATGGCTCAGGGGTTAAGAGCACTGGCTGCTCTTGCAGAAGACCCAGGTTGAGTTCCCAGCACCCACATGGTGGCTAACATTCATAACTCCAGTTCTAGGGGATCTGATGCCCTCTTCTAACCTCCACAGGCATTGCATGACATGGATACACTTACATACATACAGGCAATATACACATGCACATAAAATAAAAATAAAAAATACTTATAAATAAGTAAAAGAAGACAGATTGGACACATGTCCACTTAACAAAACGAAGATGGGTATAAGAAGGGTTTCATGTAGCCCAGGATGGCCTTGAACTCCATTTGTAGCTGAAGATAACTTTCAATTTCTGATCCTTCTGCTTCAACCTGAGAGTTGGGATTACAGATGTAGACCACCACATCTGGTTTTATGTAGTGCCTGAAACCTATGTTAGTATGATTGAGAACTAAATGTACATTAGGCAAACACTGTTAACTGAGCTACATCTCCAGCCCAATTTATTATAAATAAATTTCATATTTAATTTTATTATCTTATTTTTGGTGTATATATGTATATCTGTGTATGGGTTTCTGCATGTGAGTACAGGTGCCCATGGAGTCCCCAAGAGGGCATCAAATCTCCTGGAGTTACAGTTACAGGCAGTTGTGAGCCACCATGTGGTTGCTGGGAACTGAATCCAGTCCTCTGCAAGGAGCAGCAAGTGCTCTTAGCCACTGAACCATCTGTCTAGAACCCTCCTCAACATAACTACAAACCTAACCCTAAATGTAGCCACACTCCCAGCACTTGGGAGGCAGAGGCAGGCAGATCTCTGTGAGTTCAAGGCCAGCCTGGTCTACATAGTGAATTCCAGGATACCTGGGGCTACAGGGAGACCCTGTCTCAAAAAGACCAAACAAACAAACAAACAAAATAAAAACTAAAATATTCTTTCTCTCTCTCTCACTCACTCATATACAAACACACATACACACACACACACACACACACACACACACACACACACACAGAGACTTAGAAATAGGATGTGACTGCTCTGAGAGTGAGTATGATGCATATCTGAGATGCTGACCTCAGTAGATAGGAACAGGTGAGTCTCTCTGGAGCAGCTGCAGGATTGGGGCGTGGGTGGATGTCAATACCCAGTGCAGCTGTTCCTGATCTATTTGGCCAAGGCAGTCAGAGCCCCGCAGCCAATGAGCATCAAGCACGTGCTGGCCCGGAATCCCCAGGGGCTATCACCACCGCCGAGGGGAGTGAGCGTAGCCTGTTTCTCTGTCCTGTGACTGCGGTTTGCAGAGAGCACTTTCTGCGGTTAGAGGTGAGACACACTGGACATTTCTTCCCGTCTTACATCCATCCCTGGCTTTGCTTTCTTCTCCCTTACTGGCTAGAGCCTGTTTCTTGAGCCAGGTCACATGTCCCTCACTCCCTCTCTTTAGACCCCCTCAGAGCTCAGGGACCAAATGCGGAAAAACAAAATCTCCGCGCCCCAATTTTAAGAACAGTTAACCTCACCTGGGGTGGTGGTGCAGGTCTTTAATGCCAGCAGTTGGGAGGCAGTGGCAGCCAGATCTCTATGAGTTGGAGGCCAGCCTGGTCTACATAGTGAGTTCCAAGCCAGCCAGGGTTACATGGTAAGACTCTGTCCAAAATAAAAAAATATGTTAACCCGCAAAACGTGTACTCAGGGCATTTAGGAAGATCCCTTTCCCTTCCCAGAGCTGAGATGTTAACTTAGGAGGAAGCAGGCAGTGGGCACCACTCAAAATTTGGAGTCAGCTGGTGCCTGGTTCACATTTTTGGGGAATATGGGGTGCTTCTGGCTTAACTGCTGGTAATATTTGTGGATTATGGTTAGTAAGATGCTGCATAAACTGAGAGATTGTTAGTTGTACTTGCTGTTTAAAGGAACCTAGTCACAGGTTCTTTTAAACATTTACATGCGGAAGCAGTGACAAAGCAATATTTAACACGGGATCTTGATTTGAAGCCCTGAACCTTACATTTTTATTTTCCGTGTGCCGGTGTGTACACCTGTGAAGGTCGGAGAGCAGCTTGATGAAATAGG